CAGTTTAATGAAGCCTAGAAACTTAATTTAGGAGAGAGTCTGTTTTTTATTGTGGTTGTAGATGTAAAGCTCTGAGTTCCTGTAACATGCCTGATTTTCTTAGACTTGTTCCTTGCAACTTTCAGAATAAGCTGAAAGCAGTTTTCTCAGCTGGTGTACCACAAGATCCTTTTAAGGGTGCTGTGGCACCCAGTCCCTGTGCAAGGAGGCAAGTTCTCGCTCCTCCCCCCGCTGAGGCCCTGCACCCAGCGCAGTGTTTTGTGGACTCCTGCTGCTGACCTAGTGCTCCCACTCCGAGCAGCTTGTTGTGTCACCCTGGTGGACCTGGGGTCCTGCTTTTCAGTCCTGCAGGTGGCATCAGTCAAGAATGTAAGGCTCTGGAGTAGCATCTTTCTTGCCCACACATTTTCCCTCAGGAACAAATCATGGACGAGGAAGAGGAAGAAACCGGAAAGAGCAGGGCATGGAGTGGTGGCCCCTCCTCCTCTACCCTTGCCTGGTACGAGATAGTGGGTGTATCTACATAAGACATTTACTGCAGTGTAGTAGTCTACACATGCACCTCTGTTAGGCTGGAGAAAGCTAATTCATTCCAGTAAATGCAAATACTGTCCTACTGCAAAGTTTTTCACTCTGCAGCAGCAGCACATATAGATGCTGCCCTGGCTGACTGGGTGGGACATGAGGGTGCTTCAGTGAGGGTGCTGCCTGCTGGCTAGCACCACACTGAAACACCCTTGTGTCCCAGCCAGCCCCTCCACAGCACATTGAGCGAGGGGAACAGCCCTGGGCTAGCAGGCTGACCCCCTCTGGGCCCTCTGCCAGTCGGTGCTGCTATGACTCGGTTTATACGTGCTGTAGTCCTGGGTGCATGTTCAAACAGCACACCTGGGGGCAATAAACTGAAGTATATTGCTTCTCATTAATTGCACTTGTAGACATGCCCACTTTCTAACATTTTAAACCTTTTACTGATCTCTTCCTGAGTGGTTAGCGTCAGGTTTTCTTTGCCTATTTTTTTTATAAAAAGGAGCAATATAGGAAACTTCACCATTTTCCTCTAGCTTACTGTGGTGCAGTGATCCTCAACTGGGATGACACTAAATTCAGAGAAGCTATGGAAAGGTTCCTTGAGTCTGAAAAGGTGGAGAAACACTGAACTAAGAGGAAGAACATCTATAGATATTTCCATATGTGACACAAAAGTTATACTGATCCCGTAGATGTGATTTTTTTTTCAGTCAAATGTAGAAACAGACCATACCCTGTGAGATCCAGAGAGTTTATTTCCCCACCTTACCTCTTTTTCTAATCTACTACTGTTTATTTCTTTCCATTATGATTTTCTCCTTTTGCTGAGGGTTTGGGCTGGTTGATCAGGGTTGTTGGGCATAAGATTGGCCTGCTTACTTAGGCAGTGAGAAGCTCACCCAAATAAGAACCTAGCTGTCTGCAACTTATGAACTTACCGGGCAGATCAGAAAGACAGGCATTCCCCTTGCCCCTTAGAATGAGTGATAATTGTCACAGCACTGCCTGTTCTGTTTTGGCATGTCAGAAGGAGGCATTTTCAGTAATGCTGAACAAAAATGATTTACTGATTGCCAGAATAAACAATGTGAGCCAAATATGGACAGTCTGTAAAACTGGAGCAGTAATGGAGAAAACTAAGTTGTCATTAATCTAATCACCTGTCCCTGGGAAGTGTCACAGATTACCTGTCCTACTCTAATCTAAACTCCCCATTCCTCTTTTTGACTCTGGGAAGAGGTATGTTGCTTGTTGTTCTGAAGACTGGGTTTTGCAACATTGCTAGGTCCTATGGTGTTCCTTTCTTGAAGATAGGCCACTAGATTTGTTTTGCTCCTCTATAGAATTACTCAGTGTTTGCTTTTACCTCTCCTGTGGAAACTCCTGTGCTGTTAGACTAGAGAATGTCTTTCAAGTGCGGGCACAAAGAAAGTCACAGAGTCTCCATTCACTTCTGTGATACAGGATCATTCTGAAAAATTAGATAACAGGGATCAGTGTACTAGCAGAGGGAGTATTCATTATATGCCTTTTACTTGAGTGCCCTGCAAAACAGGTCAAGACCCTCCAACCTAAAATCCTTCAGAGCTTTTAGCTCTTCTCTGTCATCAGGGGTCCACTCTTTGCTGAGTGGTGATTGTGTGCAGGTGAATGTCAACAAAGCTGTACTTTTTTTATCCTGCATTTCCCTCCCCCACCTCTCCCTATCAGGGTGAGAACCCTCTTTTACCAAAAGTTGGGTCATGTTAAACTGTATCTGGTATGATCTGCTTAGCTCCTCTTTAATTCGTAGATCAGTGGTTTTCAACCTTTTTTCATTTGTGAACCCCTAAAAAATGTTGAATGGATGTGCCAGACCCCTTTGAATTGTGAGTGTAGGTATTCACATGCTTTTGATTGATCATAGTCCTCTTTTGCAGACCCCCAGGAGTCCACAGACCACAGGTTGAAAGCCACTGGTCTAGATTGTTTTTATGATGGACCATTGTTAATCACCATCTTTTTGAGCAGGGACCGGGGCATCCCCCCTACTGGGATCCCCGATGGACCCAGAGGAGGTGCTGCCAGGCCCAGGGTCAGTGAGGACCCGGTCGGGAAACTTCTGGTGGGACTGGACATGTTCAAGTCAGCAGGTCCTGATGATCTCCACCCCAGAGTGCTGACGGAATTAGCAGAGGTCATTGCGGGACCCCTGGCACAGCTTTACTAGCACTCATGGTGCTCTGGTGAGGTGCTGGAGGACTGAAAAAGGGCCAGTGTGGTCCCCATTTTCAAAAAAGGGAGGAAGGAGGACCCAGGAAACTACAGGCCCGTTAGTCTTACCTCGGTCCTGGGGAAGCTTTTTGAGAAAATTATCCAGGAGCACATCTCCAAGGGACTAGCAGGGGAGTGTATGCTTAGGGGCAACCAACATGGGTTCATTAGAGGCAGGTCCTGTCAGACCAACCTGGTGGCCTTCTACGACCAGGTCACAAAATCCTTGGACGTAGGTGTTGTGGTGGACATAGTCTTTCTGGACTTCAGGAAGGCCTTCGACACTGTCTCCACCCCATTCTCATTAAGAAATTAGGTGATTGTGACGCTGATGCCTACACAGTCAGATGGGTCACAAATTGGCTAGATGATCGTGCCCAGAGAGTGGTGGTGGATGGGTCTTTTTCAACCTGGAGGGATGTGGGCAGTGGGGTCCCCCAAGGCTCGGTCCTCGGGCCCACACTGTTCAACATGTTTATCAGCAACTTGGACGAGGGGATGAAAAGCACCTTGTTGAAATTCACGGATGACACTAAAATGTGGGGAGAAGTGGGCACGCTGGAGGAGAGGGACAGGCTGCAACTAGATCTAGGCAGGTTACAGGAGTGGGCAGATGAGAACAGGATGGGATTCAACACTGACAAGTGCAAGGTACTGCACCTGGGGAGGAAGAACCAGCAGCATACCTACAAGCTGGGGAACTCCCTTCTCATCAGCACAGAGGCAGAAAAGGATCTTGGTGTCAGCAGGGGAGATTATGCTTAGGGGCAACCAACATGGGTTCGTTAGAGGCAGGTCCTGTCAGACTAACCTGGTGGCCTTCTATGACCAGGTCACAGAATCCTCAGATGCAGGGGTAGCAGTGGACATAGCCTTTCTGGACTTCAGGAAGGCCTTCAACATGGTCTCTCACCCCATTCTCATTAAAAAACTAAGGGACTGTGGTGTCGACACCTACACAGTCAAATGGGTCACTAACTGGCTGGAGGGCCGCACCCAGAGAGTGGTGGTGGACAGGTCATTTTCAACCTGGAGGGATGTGGGCAGTGGGGTCCCCCA